CTGTAGCAGCTGAAGCTATCAAGTGTTTTGAAGGTTCATCTCCATGTAAAGCGTACTAGAGAGAGCTAGCATAGTACCAAAATCAATGTATGTGAAAGGATGTTCATCCAACTACATATTTTTATTGTCTTCATAGGTTTCCCCTGACCTACAGAATGAAGTGCTTATCAGCCTATTAGAGACTGACCCAGATGTTGTGGACTATTTGTTGAGGAGGAAGGCTTCCCAGTCATCGTGAGTAATCTGTTTTTTCATCATCTGTGTTCCTGATGGGAATTTCTATCTCCCACTGGAAGTGTTCAAAAGATTCTAGTTTTCCACAGCTCTTCTGCACTGTCTACAGTGGAGTAGAAATGTCCTCCCCATTACACAGACTCTGCCAAAGAAATCATGACTCTTGTACAGTGTTTTCTAAAGACAAGTCTTGTTTCCCGATTCAGAGGAAAGATTACGTTCTGCTGCAGAAAAAAAAAAATGACATGTCCATAAAAATATTCAGTGCACTATTATCTAACAGGATAAATTCTAGTGATCTGCTGGTTCATGTCTTGGGTTTGTTGTAGTCTTTAGTAAGAGGAGGCGTGTATTACACTACCCTTGAAACACACCCTCGAGTGCCTTAACTCAGCCTTGGCTAGTAATTTGACTCGTTTGTTGTTCTTTTCCTATTCTATACACATAGGACATTGTAAACTAACTAACTGCCACAACAGCAGGTTTATGAATACTCTTTGGATACTATTTAATCATATGCTTTGTGAAAGATCTGAAGAGAAAAAAAATCACACCAGTCACTACTGCAGTTACGATACATAACATATTCCAGCTTTGTGTATGGTGTATATATGCCTACACCCGTGTGCCTTAATGCTGTGAGTTTGTACATTGGGATTAACGGGATTCCTGGCTTTCTCATGGGACACACAGTCCTTGCCTTTGTTCTAGTGAATCCCAAAAAATCACAAAATTTGACAGGCTTGCTTTAAGTAATTTTTAAGGGGTTTCCTAGACTAAACTCTCTGGGACACATTGGACTTGGTCTTCCTGTGTGTGTGGAAAGTCCCTAGTGCATTCAGAATATAATTAAAATTGAATTTGTACAGTCAGTTAGCTATGATTTTTTTTCTCTCCCTCTGAACATTGTGTAGTTGAAGGTAATGTAATAGTGTGCCTGGCTTTAAAGGAAGAGCTATAAACGAAATAGTATAATTAACACATGGAGGAAAAAGCTTTCTTTAATTCTAAAAATTAAAACCAAAAATACGTGCAGAATATATTGTGTGTTGTAAAGGAATTTATTAGTTTGTTGACTTAACCACATGAACACATAACATGCAGTAGCAAACTATCACAGATCATCTGATTTGTGGTAATTGTCTCTGTGTGTTTTCTTAGTGTACCACAGACATGAAATAATTTCAGTTAGTTTATGCCTGACTGACAACCATGTGTATATTTAGATCACAATAAATGCAGGATAATTAGAGGTACGTTAGCTGTCTTTTACACTTGTTTCATGAGCCAAGACCACAATTAGGAGAGAGACTGCAAATCACATGACATAAGGTAAAGTCTGTAGAGACTTCCTTCTTTAAGCCCTCAGTTTGGAGTGATCATATTATCTCTAACTCAAGCTAATAAAAACCTTCATGCTGGATTTCACCATCTGTATAATACAAAGACATAAAATTGTATCTCACATGTGGCTACACATATCAATTGAGCATAAATTTGTCACAAATCATTGTGGATGTAGCAGATTATTGATAGATCCTGTTTCCTTTCAGTTAATTGACCTTTCCTTGAGCTCCCTTATTTTTCAGCCAGCATGCACACCTACAGGAGAAAATGGATCTTTTGTGCAAAGGTGGTCACATCTGATAAAAAGGGGTTTTATAAGAAAAGGTTATGAAGCCAAATAGGGACATATAGCTATACTAGTACCAATTTGCTGTATTTTCAGTAATGGAAAGATGAAGTATCACTGAGATAGGAAAAACTTACTATCTGTCATTTTTCTTCTACTCTGCTGTCATGTAAGTGATTTATTCTTAAAGTTAATGAGCTATATTTTCACTGTGATTGCAACTTCTTGGTTAAGATATTCCAGGTAAATAGAAGGAATGTCGCTTAGTGTTATTGCTAGGAGTGTGATGCTCATAAGATATTAATCTATTTCAGAATATAATCTCAATTTTGAGGCTTTGTATTTGTTGGTTATTTCTCCTGTAAGAAATGTGAGGCAGAAGACAACAAGATGTTTATCTTGATTTGATAAAAATGAGCCTCCAAAATACGTACTTACTGCTCTCGGAAATTTTATAGTCATGTACTCAAGATCCAAATTGGGATCTGTGGAACAGAAAACTTCACATGTTCTTGAATCAATCTTAATCAGAAAAGCTAGTTGGCTGCATAGTGTAGAGTATGGAATCAACTTTGAGATCTTAATGTCATACTAATTGCTCTGAAGGTCCTGCTTCTGCAGTTGTGCTCACATCTCTGCTTTGATGTCATTACAAATGCTTTCTTGGCTCCAATCTAACAGACAAAACACAATCTCTTTTCCTTCCCGGAGGAGGACAAATCAGATGTTTCTCATCTTTCAGTTCTCTTCAGAGCTGAGCATCATGAATGGTATGTCAGGGAGTTTATGGAAGTCATTCATGGTAAAGCACTAATTACCATTGGCAGGAATTACGAAGTGTGCTTTGTGGATGACTTCCCCAACTTTTTTGTATGTTGGTTTGATGACAATGGATTTTGGGGTTTCCAGCTGTAAGATGAAGCATCTTTAAACTAAAACAAAAATAAAATGTTTCTTATGATTATTTATTGCTTATCATGGTTAGTAGTCCTTTTAGAGTAAGTGAGTTTCAAAGTTACAGAATTTTTGAATGTTTTTGGATGGTGATGATGGGTTTTAATCCATCCTAACCTGTGGCACAAAGATGAAGCCATACAATAGGCCATATATATATAAATGCAGTTTTCCAAGCTGCAGAAGCTCCCTAAATCATTGAGTCCTCTACCTTGTTACAGTAGCAACCACATCATAATCCCATAATAATCTGTTTTGTTGGTGGCACCTGTGTTACTCAAATAAGGATGGAAATTGCTACTGCATCCTGCCACACACTCTGTATGATTTGCCTCTTGTAAGACATAATTGTTTTCTCACGTAGAAGCTTTAAGGTGTAACAGAAAAGGATTTCTGCCAAAACCAGAAAGGGTTTTCCTGTTTTTGACCTTGGTGCCAGTAGAAAAGTAGGAATATCCCCAATAGAAGTAATTATTATTATTATTATTAATGTTTTTCCAGTTCACCCATGCAAATAAACTGTGGTGGATGACATCAATTCAGAAGGATGCCAGTTAAAAAGGAAAGCCCAAGACTCCTTCATAGCATGGTTGATTTTTGTTCTGGAATCTGAAATAGTATTTTTGAACATATGTGGCAGCATAGGTTCCTTTGGCAGCTTTCAAATCTTTCAGTTTGTATGTAACCACTTTTAAAATATTTTCTTTAACGTAGTTCATAACCACTAGAAAATACTTTACTTGCTTTCCCATTTCTCACCTTTTATAGTTGTAGTTCATAACCACTAGAAAATACTTGCTTTCCCATTTCTCACCTTTTATAGTACATAATATTCTATTAATCTTTGTGGGGACCATAATCTGCCCTCATTCATAGACTGCACGTAGGCGAGTGGGTGTCTTGCATGGTATTTACATTTGCCTCCCAATTCAGTTTTTGCGTAGTGTGTGGGTAGAGAATTTCACAGCTATCCAGGGGAAGATGAATTTTGAATTTTTGTAAACATCCATTTCCTACTGAAAGCAAACAGATGCAAAAGTTTTGTTTTAAGGAATAGGTGAGAATTCATTCTTTACTTGGAAAGAGGCAAGGCAAAGTCTTTTGCAATTTTTATTTATTTTATTTGTGAAGAGCATTCTAAAGCTGCAAATGTATGAGATCCATTTCCAACTTTAAAGTATTTAATCCATTTTGGTGGTTTCTTGTAGTAAGACTGGCGGAGTCCACAGGCATTTTATTTGATTTTTAAAAATATTTTTTCTAAACAAATATGAAAGAGATATCATATATATATATATATAGTCGCATGGGCTTACTAGCAGAAACTGTAAATGAGTTTAGAAACTTGAACATTTGGATCTTTCCAAAGACTTGACAGTTTCCATTTAAGTAAATTTTATCAGGAGCTCTGTCTTGAGAAGAGATAGACTGTAACAGATCGTTCAAGGTAAGACATGAAATCAGTGTTTCACAAAGCTCAAGTTTATGTTCCCACATTCTTTCATTTCCATTTCCTTTTCCCCTGTTCCTTGTGTTACCTTGCCATGGCTAAATGGTGGTGTACTTCTTTCTTTGCCCTGTGCAACATAGTTAGGTTTTGATCCTGCAAAGATTTACATGTGATAAGCATTATTGGTCACTGTTAGTGCGAAGTATGTCTGTATGCTAGCAAGGTGAGGTTTAGATGATGTTCAATCTAGAAAGCTGGAGAGAAAGACATTTGGTTGTAGCAAACCTACAGGTACCAATATTTCTCCCCTTTTCTCTCAGGTCTTCCTGTTTCTTCTAAATTCCCAAGACATTGCTTAAATCTTGTCTTAACTCACACTCACTGCAGAAGTTTTTTTTAGAGCTTAAGAGGGCAGAAAGAAAGGAGTAAGGGACAAAAAAAGAGATAAAAGATTTGTGATAGAATTGTACATACTCAAAAGACAGTAATTCAGTGTGTGGCTGTTTATAGATTAATTTATTTTGGACTCATCTTCAGATGAGAAGCTGAGATGGGAAGTTAAATAATTGAAGCATGATTTTTTTTTTTCTTTTTAAATGACTCCACAGTATTACCAAAGCAACCAGACTGGGAAGCACAGGACAGCACTACTTGGCTAAAAGGCAGCTCTGGTTTTTTAAGTTGGCCCCGGTTAAGGTTCAGGATCAGTTCAGTGATGGATTTCCTGCTGGAAGTTACTGAGCAGTAAACTTAGTTAATTCATTCCCAACACTTTATGGTTGCTCTTATACTAGAAAAAAAATGGAATACCGAATAACATAATAATCGTGGTGTTGAGTGTATATATTTTATGTTTTGGGACATGCAATGTGTAAATTGGCCAGGAAAAAGAAAAAGAAACAGCAGCTTGAAAGTGGTGTAAATTTTTGTCATTATTTCTGTATTAATATTTAGTGTGCTGTGACTAGCCTGTCTTATCACTGTATGTTTTGCTTATTTTCTTTCTTCAGTTTTATTTCGTTTGTCTGGAGAGAGGTTTTTATTGTTCCATAACAAGTAATGTGCTTTGGCTGTTCACTCAGTTCAAGCTCTCTTTGAACTTGACTCTGAGAAGGGCTGACCTTTCTCAGTACACATTTACAAGAATGTGCCTTTGTCATATTGCATGCAATTAGAGCAGATATTAATGTGAGGTCACTGAGAAAAGTGTTTGTTTCTTAGATGCATATCTTTTGCTTCTCTTGAATCAAAGATCAAGGTGCAGAGAAATTAAAAATGAGTAACAGAAATAAAAATTAGGGAGGACCAATAGGAAAAAAGTTATGTTTGTTTAGAGTATTTCTACATATTCTTTGGGAGGTTCAGTGACTCACAGACGACCTCGTCTCTGCGTAGTAAACTGTAAGAGTTAAAGAAATCTCCCACAATGTTCCCAACACACTTCAGAAAATGAGAGTTGTCCCTCTGAGCCTTGGCTGGACTTTGGTGGGTGTTTTGTTTGCCTTTTTTTTTTTTTTTTTTTTTTTTTTTGTCAAAATTAAATGCAGGCCATGGTGTTGGTGATGTAAAGGTGAAAGGGTAAAAGAAGTTGTAGAAGTTAACAGCAGAAATGATTGCTTTCTGCCCCCATCAAAAGTATGGTAGATACCTCTGCTTGTCCCCCGTGGAATATTTACCTTCTGGTATCTGTAGGAGAGGATCCTTCTCATAGCATATGAGGCAAGATAAGGTTTTGATTTTTCTGACTGCGTAGTACTTCAGAATGGAAGAACTGATTTTAGCATACTGCTTAGCATCAAACTAAACTTCCCTATCATGCCCTCAGATTGACTGTTGCAACAGCCTAAATTGTCAAGGTAACATAAGGAACTGATTCACTATTTAATTTCCTGTGGTGAACTGTACAGTTACATGTTTTTTGTTGTTTTTTTTCTTGACAACAACATCTTTTGATTTTTAGTGGCCTCTGCTGGCCACTTCATGACAAAAGTTTTTACCCATGGAAAATTCACCTCTGTACTGCTTCTCAAGTGTTTTAATTTCAGCAGCTGTGGTCATGCTCCTGTATTTGATTTTATTTGTATGATGTCAAACTACACCTGCAGCTGTGAACATAAAGCATTTTTCATTAACAGTAGTTTGTTTATCCAAATTTCTCAGGAGCCCCGAGATGCTGCGGTCAGAAGGTTCCTACTCCACAGGAGGAAGACATTCTTCCACAGACTCCAACAAAGCTTCGAGTGGAGATGTCTCCCCTTATGACAACAACTCCCCGGTACTGTCTGAGCGCTCGCTGATGGCAATGCAAGAAGAAGTTGCCCGCAGCCCAGATAAGCTGTACAAGGTACCTGAACAGTACACACTGGTTGGACATTTGCAGCCTAAGACAAAGGAGAATTCTTCTGCATCACAGGCTGGAAAAGGTAGAGTACATCCTGCTCACGTTCCTCCTTCTCAGCAACTGGTGCGAGTTTTGGAAATAATTGAAAAGTGTTTGCTCTGTTTCATCATCTACCAGGACTTGAGGAGGAGTAGTGTAAATAACCTTACAAGAAATGACTGACCAATATCCTTTTTTTTTGCATTAAGCCTGACAGGTCTGTGCTTAGTTCTTGTTAGCTCAGCCAGCTGTCAGGGATGCTCTTGATATGGCATTTCTCAAAACCTGGAACTATTATTTAGGAAAATAGAACTAGGTATGTCCTACTTTTCAGCCTGTCTGTGACAGCATGGCAAAGACTGATTACTAGTCCTGTTCTGTAGGACTATAATATCTGCAAGGTTATGGCCTGGACTTTGGAAAAATCAGAGACTTTTAAGATGTCAAACTACAAATTTTCTCCAGTTGAAAAGAATGACCTCAACACCCTCTCACTGGAGAACAGCTGTGCTGCACGGCGTTACATCTGCTGCCATTTACACACCTAGCAATACTAGTGCAGGGATCCATAATTTCCATTAGCTATCTAGGAAGTGCACACCTGAATGATTTCTTCTGTAAAGAGCTGCAATTTAAACTGATAGGTCACCAGCACTTCAAGATGCTTTTCATTTAATTTTTTTTTTAATTTGCATTAATGAAATGCATATTTAGCAAGCCAAACTTCAAGGGCTTCCAGTGCTTAGGGATGCAGATAACTCTTTGGTAGTATTTTAAAAACCATTTCATTTCAGAGATACTGGTTAGACACTTAATTCCCTTTGGAATTATGGGATTTAGACTACTGTCTCAATTATATGCTTTGTAAATGCCAATGGGCATTTATCTTCTGCAATCGGCATCTGAATGTTTGAATAGGTTTCAAAATTTGGTCAGATTTCTAGTAAGTTATGAACAGGAAATTACATGAAGTTTTATCACGTTAACTATCTTTTGGACTTTAATATGCTTCACAATAGTGGACCATGACGAATTGGGAAGTACCTTTACTGCCAGATAGAATTGGAAAAGGCATGAGACAGTTATAATCCAACACAATGCCCAATGTTCACCTTTCATTAAATCTCTATTCTGTGACAGCACTTCTGTGCAAGACCCAAGCAATGCTGCAGGTTGATAGAGCATGCTTTACAGTGACCCCTGGGGCTGGGGCTGCCTGAGGGAGCATTTCCATTCTTTCCTTAAAAAGCACATGAACTACCTTCTGTTGAGTAAATCCTTCTGTTCTTGTGCAAATTCTCCAACTGACTTCAGTAAGGCAGAGAACTTCAGGGAAATTCCACCCTTTCAGCAAACTCAGTCATCCTGCCCATACAGACCTTACTGAATCCATTACAGGATCTAAGCCTGAAACAGCAAGTAGCTGTGAACAAATACATTTGAGATGTTTGTGTTAGGTGCACAGTCAGTCAGATACTAGTATGTGTTAACACCTCTGATACCTTAGGTAAGGTTTAACCATTCCATTTGTATGTTTTGAAATAATGGCCTTAAGGGGAACGATGAATTATCTTCTTCCTGCTTTTATTACTGTAGATGTTTCCGAAGATCATTTTGATATCTGGGGCACCTGGCATTCAACACTGAAAAGTGGCTGCAAAGATCCAGCAATGACAGGTCAGTTATTTCTCAAGTTCTAAGCCCAAATCTAGCAAAGATGCAAATAATTTTTTGGCTTTGAGAAATCACAGTGAAACCAGTACACGAATTCACATTGTCCAGAGTTGGACTTTTAAAAGGTGACTGTTCAGTCAAATGCAGAGAAGTGCAGTGGTTATACAAATGTGACGACATTTCAAACTGTCACAAGATAATTTAAGAAGTTGTTTTAAAATTACTTAAAAAAATAGTTTTATGATCGTCTAAAAGTCACTGGCAAATGGATGGCTGGTATGGTTTTGAGAGTGGCTGCCTCAGTGGCAGAAGCGCAGGCTGTGAGGTTGGTGGCCTTGGCCCTGGCCGATGTGGTCCCTGCAAGTCCCTGACCCATCCTGCCTTTGTTTTTCTCCCATCTGCACCCAACTCACAGAGGAACTATGAGACTAAAACACACACCCTGCTTTGCAAGCGTTGGAAAGATGTTAAGTGCTGCAAAGCTTTATGTCAGAGCAAAGCATTGGAGTCACTGGGTAATATGTTAGACATGGTTCAGACTGACACAGGGCTGCTGCTCTGTGTCCCCAGGTTCAGCTGGTTGTGAGACTGACAGACGTTCAGTCCCATAGCCTGGTGATAAAAGCCCCCACGTAAATGCCACGTAAATGATTACACAGACTGATGTTGTCTTTCTGACTCTGGTCTCCAGGTTCTTACAGGAACATTTACGAAAGCAGCTTGCCAAGACCCGGACAGTACTCTCTTTCCCAGGGGAACCTGGCCATGTATTCTCCTCAGTGGCAGGGCAGCTCCTCCGAATTGGACACCAGCAGACAGGTCATGCGGCGGAGCCAGACGACCGCTGCCATTCCTGAGCGTCAGCTCCATCCCACAGTGTCTCGGGTGTGCAGTAACCCACAAATTGAAGTCGGCGGTAGGAGTTCAGACCTGTCACACTCAAAGTCAGAGCGGCACTTGACTTTAAGCGGTGTGAAGGACCTCAGGGAGCATGACTCGAACGTAGGTTGTTCACAAAGCACAGCCAAGCCCTCCTACAGAAAAGAGAGGCCACCACCCCCTTACCCAGGCCCAGCAAAAACAAGCTCTGCGTTGTCACAGCAATCGAGTGTTTCTTCAACGTTGCACTCTTTGTGGAGACTTCAAGGCCAAGAAAAAAATTCAGGGACCACAGCAGCTGGAGGACCACCAGCAAAAGCCCCTGACCAGGCCACCTCCAGGCAGGAGCGGCCGGCCCCACACACCCAAACAGGTCACACCTGTTCCACAGCTCCTCATGGTCAGAACAGTAAAAATGCTTCAGAGGCGGACTGGCATGATTGGCAAAGGGAGAGGTGGCAAATTTGGGAGCTACTATCAGCTGATAACCCCGATGCTCTCCCGGAAACCCTTGTATGATCAGACTCTACAGAACTGCCACTCATACCTACACCTGCCTCTCATAGGAAAGCAATGGTGACATTGGAAAATGGGGAGGGCTTGTTTGTTTTATACCAACTGAATTGCATATACTTTTTTAAAACTTTGTTCACTTTAATTTCTTAACAGCACTGTCAAGCAGTCCATTTACAAATACAGTATGTTCCTGGTTTTCAGCAAGCTTTGGAGAAAAAACAAGATGAAAATTTAGTTTAATAACTGTATATGCATACCCTGTGTATAAGATAAAACTGTTGCTTTGATGTTGCTAAAAATGTATTTATATATCTGCAGTTTTGATGATTGTATATTCTGTAATGGGTATTGTATGATAATCATATATTATGTTTTCATATACAGATGTCAGTTGTTCATGACTGCTTTTTTAAAAAAATCACTGCACTTACATTACCGTGATATGCATTGGAATTCTATAGAAAGTGCACAAGCTGGTTTCTGTGCTTATATATATAAAAAAAAACCACAAACCCAACCTGTTAAAGGGGGAAGTTGTCCTTCTTTTCACTGCCTATTGAAAAACACTAAAATAGAGTGGAACATGAAAAGCCATATGTTTTATAAGGGTAATAGCGAGCTTAGAGGGGAAAATACCAAATATGTTTTTCTTATAAATATATTTGCAAATGAAATTAAAATTTGATAAAAGATTGTAAAAAATATTTTTTTAGATTCTAGTAGGAAGCAGCTCAGAGAATCAACTAAGAGCAAGGCCGTGCCTAAACCAACTAAGGATGTAGTGCAAAGGTCTACCCTCCAATTCTAGAGGAAAACCAATGTTATATATACAGGATATAATATATATATTTATAAATGTATGATTTTATGTATTGTTTTAAAACAATAAACTGGAATCCAAATTTTAGAAAACTAAACCCAATAAATTGAGGTGTGTAACAACTGAGAAAGAATATGGCTTTTCCTTTGAAATAACAAAGCTTCAGCATTAAGGAAGTTAGATAAAGAAAAAAAAAATGCAGACAGACAGAGGAAAGGGAGTCACACAGAGTTTCAGGAATGAACCTGACCTTTGGGGAAGTTCACAGGTGCATTTCTGTAAATATTGTGCCAAAGTCTGGGTCAGTAGTACTATTTCAGTAACTGTGTGTTGCATTGTTAAATGTTGCCGTTCTGTACACGTTCTGGTGTTTTTAAATTGCAAAATTGTTTATGGCCAGCAGGTGGCAATGTACTTCAGTATTCTAGAGAAAATTCTTTTTATCACTTGATAAGGGAAAGTGTATCATATGAAAAGAATTTTATAAAACATATTAGTCTTAATTTTAATGACATTGAAGACTTACTCAGTGATGTTGTCTTTAAGTTCTATCTTGTGCCATAATGATGGAATAAAAAGCTAAGCAAAATAATGAGCATATTTTTTTGCTCCTTTTTTTGAAATAAGGTTTATGTAAAAATTGATATGTTTTTATTGCATTCTTGACTATCTTTGTCAAAAACATCTAAAAGGCTTAGGAGCTTAAGGACCACTTTCAAATGCAACTTAAATATACAAGGTCCAAGGTTTTACTTGAGTTTTAGGCTTAAAATCCTTCATATAAAAAGTTTGCCCATCATGTCCCCATTTCCCAAGTAAAGTTACAAGACAAAAGCACCAGCCCGAGTAGAAAGGGGCAGGATTTGGCCTTTGACTGTTGTAGCGCTGTCAGGCTGGCCAGCTCTTTTGATAAATACTGCATTCAGTATTTGGAAAAGCCTTGCAACCACCAGAAGAGAACTGAGATTTATTCCCTCTCAATATGAGACTTGATAGGAAAAGGTTCTTGCATGTAGCTTGTTGCAGCAGCTCTGTGTCAATTTTATTACCCCAAAAAACTCCACTCCAAATTGAAAAGACAGTGGAATATAAGGAAGGACAAAAACGAGCTCTTACAAGCAATCTTTGCAATTTGATCTCATCTCAAATTTGTCCCAGGCTTGATACAGATTTGCTACAGGGAATTAAAGCTCCCTAATAGCCCTCAAAACCAGGCATAGTGTAAGTCCTGCTGCAGATGATACTCTGTTCACTAGATGTCCAACTCTTCATTATAAATCCTTTTCTAAATACAGAAGCACCTGCACATTTTTAACATTTTTAGAGAAAGATACCTAATGATTACTCAGCCTCATAAAGAGCTTGCTTTTCACCAGTACCTCTCTCTGTACATATGTATATATATGTGTATATTACCATCTATATGGAGTTTATGCAAAGACAACAAAAAACAAGACTGCTGCTGGTGGACAACCTTGTCTGCATACATTTCAATATATAATTGCTTGGAAGAAAAGAGATATAGAATAAATTCCCATGAATTAAAGTCACTCTGGCCAAGATTACATCATTTCTGTCTGTTATTTTCATTTGAACGGGACAGAGCAAAATTATCACGAGCAGGTTAAGGACATAGTAATTTTTAGTTGTTCTTCTTTCCAGGCTGAAATCACTGACATAATTTCTTTTGGTGTCCTTTTTATATTTCACAAGAAATGTAGTCGTGAAAGGTTGTTTTTAGTTTTGTGTTAGCTGATAGATGTGTGGGCTATTCCATTTTATATCTCTGATGTTTTTCTTCCCTATGACACATTCTCTTATACAGCCATAATATTCCTCTTACAGGAAAAGTCTGTAGCATTGGGGATATCAAAGCCTTTTCGCTGACTGTTTCCCCTGGGAGCAGGATTCCTGTCATAGCAAAAGGGTCATGGGCCTCTGCTTCAGTGAAGGGCTGGTAGAGAAGGTCTCCTCTGGAGGTCTTGAGGCCTCAGGGCAAACTCCTGCAGTTCAGTTCCCTCCTATTGCTTCCTATCACACTGCGTTGGTTCATACCTAGGACTGAAAAAAACCTCTTTCCCCTGACAGTCTGCATTACCTCCTCTCAGGGGGTGTCTCCGAGCTGGGAGGAAGGGTGTGCTGCACTAGCAGGTGAGCCCAGGAGAGGTGAGGTGTGGGCTTGCCCACGGGGCAGGGGTTGCTCTTCTCTCTTCTGTTGCAGAAACAAAAAAATGAGAGGAATCAGTGCAGTTCTAGGTACAAGCCAAATGTGGTGGGGATCCTCTGAGCCAAGGGAAAAATGGAAAAGCTCAGGCTTTAAAATAGTATATTACTGTTGCTGCCAACGTTGAAAACAAGATGTGGTTACACAGTTGACTCACCCACTCCAAGGCCATGCTCCACTCCTGAGGGGTGAGCTGCACTTTCTTCTTCTTCCCCAGCCTCCAATCTTATCCCTTACACCAACCCTTGGAGTGGTGGGAGGAATCCCAGGGGTTGTTCTTCTGGCTGAAACTTGCCCTGGACAATGGACACATAAAATGTGGATAGCTCAGTGGCTTTTGCAAGTGGTAGGCACAGGGTCAGAAATGGGGGAGAGAGGGAGGTCGGGACTGGCCACCCCTTCTGGCAGCAGCAGCAGCCGTCTCCTATTAGCCCTATGTAAGCTACTCATGCAACTGCAGAGCTTGCTGCTTCAATGTGCAGGCAAGAGCCTGGCCAAGCACTTGAGAGTGGCTCTGTGCTACAAAGCCCATCCAGCTGCCGGCCTGGGGGCTTGAAACCTCTCAAGTGCTCTGCTGTCTATATCGGGAGCCTAGGCTGCTACCACGGCACAGCTTAATGCCACTCAGAATGTCTCTGCTGGTGAAGTGGCACGGTTCAATGGGCTGGAATTTATGGCTGTACAGTCTGGGCATTTTTTTCTGGTTTTGTTACTGGTGTTCTTGTTTTACAGACATCAGTCAGGGTAAAAACCTTAATTCCAGCCTTTCTGGAGCACCATCTTGTTCTGTGGTGTGGGTCTGGCAGGGGGTCAGGAATTTCTTTCTCCTCTGGGAAGCACATGGGGTGTCTGAGCCTCACCTTACTCCCTCTGTCTGTCTCTCTCTTT